GTAGCCCAGGCTGGCCTCGAACTCACAGAGATCCGCCTGCCTCCCGAGTGCTGGGATTAAAGGCATGCGCCACCACTGCCCAGCTATTACTTTTATTTACTCTTACTTTCATTAAAAGAAACAGCAGCTAGTTACAAAAAGACAAATAGTGTATGACTTGTATGAAGGACCTAAAGTAGTCAAGTTCACAAAAACAGAAAGAATGGTGATTGTCTGGGGCTGGAGAGAGGGCCACGGGAAACACCATGACTTAACCGTTATTCAGACAGAGGAAATTATATTTTTATATTTAGGAATACATCATATACATACATGAATTTGAAAAGGGGAGTATGTAGGAGGGTTTGGAGGAAGGAAATGGGAAAGGAAAACTATGTAATTATAATCTCAAAAAAATTTTTTAAATCTGTAACAGCCATTTATCTGAGACATTCATCTGATTTGTTCAAAGTTACCAAAAATAGGTGCTGAATGGATTTTAAAGAATATTCAGACACTTCTTAGTCCAAAATTATGGTACATTATAATCTCTTAATTCTTCCAATTGTAAAAGTGGAAGAAAGCCAAGCGCAGTGGCAAATGCCTTTAATCCCAGCACTTGGAAGGCAGAGGCAGGAGATCTCAGTGAGTTGGAGGCCAGCCTGGGCTACATAATTGCAAAGCACTGGAATGCTTATTTGGTAATCCCAGTCTTTCCAATCAGGCCTTCTTTCTAAAGAAGGATTAACTGTCTTTAAACATCCTTTTCTGGGTCCTTTTAAAGAAATAATCTCGCTGGATGGACTGGTGGCGCAGACCTGTGATCCCAGCTACTTGGAAGGCTGAAACAGGATCACGGGTTCGAGGCCTGCCTGGGCAACTCACCCTGTCTGTAATAAAAGTGAAAAGAGGGTTGGCTCGTAGCTCTGTGCCCTGTCTGGCGCGTTCAAGGTGCAAGGCTCGGTCCGCAGTGGCGGAAAAAAGATGAAACATTATCTTCACCGCTAGTGACACTAACAACGCCGGGGGGCGGGGAGAGGGTGCGGGTCGTCTTCTGCGAGCCCTCTTTTCATTTCCCTGCCCGCCAGCCGGCGACCCGAGCGCCTGTCACTGTCTTCCGCTACCGGTTACCAATAAAGTTATTACAAAGTGACCTTGAGCGGCTTTCCCCCGCCTTCTCCATCCGGGTGCTGCGGCGGGGATAAGAGCCGTAGCGCGCCTGCGCGCCCAGCCCCACTGCTTCGACCTCTGCCGCCGCTGTTGTCCCCGCCGCCGCCGCCTCGGGAGGTAAGCGGAGGTAAGCGGAGGGCGCAGGGCCGGGGCGGAGCGGGCCGCTGGGCCCCATCCACCGGGCTTGCACCTCCCGGGCACGCGGCCACGCCGACGGCCTTGCGCGGGGGCCCTCGGGGCCCGGGGTGGGAAGGGCAGGCCCCTGGGGGGACGCTTGACCTTAAGCCGCGTTTTTTCACTCCGCAGAGAGGAAGCGGGAGAGGAGCCCACGTCGCCTGTCACCCACATCCGCGCCGCCGCCGGGAGGAAAGATGTTCGCCTGCGCCAAGCTCGCCCGCACCCCCGCTCTGGTGCGTAACCCAGGCCTCGGCCCGGCGGACACGCCGAGGGACCGGCTCTCCTTCACCCTTGCCCCGATGTCCTCCCCTCCCTCCCTCCCTCCCTCCCTCCCAACCCTGGGGCCCCGCAGACCGGCCCCCGCCATGCGTCCCCCGAGGCCCGCCAGGCCCGCCCGGCCTAGGTCACTGCCTCCCTCTTCCTCCTGGAGCGCGCCCCTCCCCCACCTCCGGGGCCCTGGGGAGTTGGGGTCGACGCGAAGGTCGGGGTACTGGGAGTTCCGAGGGTGCCGCCGAGGCCTAGTTGCCTCTGCAGCGCTCGCCATGCGTGTCTGTCTGTAGGTCAAACTTGGCCGCTGCAGAGGGAGGGACTTTGCTTCCCTGTGTGGGCGGAGGAAGGTGGTGGTGGGGAGCCCTGACGCTTTCTTTTGAGAGACTTTTAAGTGAAAGCCAGAATCTGTAAAGGATTTGTCCTAGGGAATCAGGGCCTGGTTCTGAAGGGATTTTTTCCGTGACCTTAGTGTCCGTGGACAGACACTCAAGGGCAGAGAGGCTAGAATGCAAGATGTCCTTATAGTGAGAGCATGTCACCGATTGTTACAGCTGCCATCGAACTGCTTAAACTCTAGTAAATTTCTGATTAATAGGCATTTAGGAATATTTTGGAAATAGTGGGAGCTCTATTAACTGCTGAACTATTTTAAATGACAGCATTCAGAGTGACACTCCTAATATTGTTGGCCCACGTAAACTGACTTGACTTACAGCATTACACTTACTGAAACTTCCACAGCACCGCCAGTCACTTTTTAACTAATTGTTCTTAGGATTTTAATTCACAAATAGATTAGGTAGCAGGTTTTACAATTCATTAGCATGAAGTCGTGTTGGGTTGGCTTTGTGTATTCAAAAGGACCAAACAGCCAAGATAATTGTGCAGATAAATAAAAAGCTCTGCTCGTTTTCCCTTCTGCTTTCTCCTTTAGAATTTATGGTTGCAAGAAGACTCCTCTGTATTCTTTATACTTGAATTTTTTCCTTTCCTTCCACTAATAGATCCGAGCTGGATCCAGAGTTGCATATAGACCAATTTCTGCATCAGTGTTATCTCGGCCCGAGACTAGGACCGGAGAGGTAAGTACTGACAATAGAAATGTACAAGTTTGTTAGAGTGGAGGGTGAATATAATGAATGAACGGCTCCAGGGTAGTCTCTTTCCACCTCTATTAAACAATATGTAGAATGAGAGCCACTGAGAGGAACTCTGGTGGCCAAGACAGCCTCCTGAATTAGCAAATAGATATTTTAGTCGGCATTTATATTTAAGTCTGTAGTTTTGAGTTATCTGTATTTAAGATTAAAATAGTCATGACTATCAAAAAGAGCCTGCTCTGTTGAAAAATATACTCATATATTCTGTTTTATAATTGTTAACAACCTAGAAGGTGTAGATTGTTAATTATCTTATACAAGATAAGCATTATTCCAAGTTCTTGGTTTTCTTTTTCATTGTGCCATGCAATTATTCATTCACACCAAGCTACAATATAAAGAACTTACTGTTTTGGCAGTATAGTAGTTAATAGATGTGATTATTGATTGACCTTTGCCTTATTTCCTGTTCCCAGGGTTCTACGGTATTTAATGGGGCCCAGAATGGTATGTGTCAGCTGATCCGAAGGGAGTTTCAGACCAGTGTAATCAGCAGAGACATTGACACTGCTGCCAAGTTCATTGGTGCGGGTGCTGCAACAGTAGGAGTTGCTGGGTCTGGTGCTGGTATTGGAACAGTCTTTGGCAGCCTTATCATTGGTTATGCCAGGTAATCACTTCTGCCCCAGAGTACGTTAAAGAAACCAAGGCAAGCTGGAATTGGAAATAGGAAAGTAGTGGAATAATAGTAACTCCTTTGAGGTGCCTGTTGTGTGTCTTGCATTATATTTTGTGACGTGTGCAGTAGTCACTTAAAGAGGTGAGAAGGTTGGGGCACAAGCCTGTAACCCCAACCAGCCAGGAGAGGCAAAGGGATCACAAGTTTGAGGCCAGCCTCAAGAATCCAGGACCCCTCACAATGGGTGTAAACTAAGCACTTATATTTGCATGCAAAGATGGCTCCCTAACTTTATGCCACATGATCAGGGGTGGGTTAAAAAAAAAAAAAAGATTTTGAGAGACAGAAGCAAAGTAGTGGAGGGCGATAGCACCTCCATAGAACTTTGTAGTTTTCGAAGATCATACTGGTTATCTGATTCTTTATCATTTACCAAATGCTGATGTTAAGATTTAAAAGTGACAGTCACCTTGTTGTGTTGTGTCTCTTCTAGAAACCCTTCACTGAAGCAGCAGCTCTTCTCATACGCTATCCTGGGATTTGCCTTGTCTGAAGCTATGGGTCTCTTTTGTTTGATGGTTGCTTTCTTGATCTTGTTTGCCATGTAACAGAAATTACTGCCTGAAATGTTGGCATTCATAGTAATTACGGATGTAATTCTGTGTATCTGACTGTGACTCCAAAAACTGTAGTGCTGGTGTCATGGAAATGTACGTTATTTCCAAAGTCATTTCATTAAAGATGAAAACTTTAATTTTTGCTGTGATTTATCTAATTTTGGGTCATCATAAAGATGATACATTGAGGCAGATGGTTGTCCAGGTCAGAAGAAGGTAAAGCAGTTGCCCTGGTTTTGAAAAAGTGCTGCATGTGATTTTTATGGGAATTTTGTTATGTAGTGTTTTGCAGAATGTAATTTATGGGGTTTTTGTTTCTTAATGTAAAAGAGAAATATTTTAGTTCTTTGAGCTTCTTTGAAATATGATTAATACTACATCTATATAGTTTTGTGTTTTTAAAGGTAACCATGAATTAGAAGACTTAGAAACAGAATCACGGGGTTGGGGATTTAGCTCAGTGGTAGAGCACTTGCCTAGCAAGCACAAGGCCCTGGGTTCGGTCCTCAACTCCGGAAAATAAAAAATAAATAAAGAAACAGAATCACCTTCTAAGTGGGTGTGGCCACCCTTCCATTGCTAGATCTAAAAAGAAGTCATGTCAGCTTGGAAGCCGTTAGTTACTGGGAGGGAATGTGACTTTTTTTTCTCAATGCCCCACATTGAGCAGTTCCGTGTCCACAGTAAATAACTACGTGTCTTCTGAGAAGAGACCCAATCATACTGGCAGCTAGTTTCTTATTTAAACAAGCTCTTTTAAAAAGTAGTCCCAAAGTTGCTGAAACATTCCTGCTGCATTGTAGTGGAATTCTTAGGGATGATGGTTGAGCAAGGGTCTGCCCTGGTACTTCGTGTTGCTTCTTGCTCAGCCTTTTCCTAGGGAAAGGAAGAAAGTGGTGTCACCATGGGAAGACTGTTCTTGGCCCAGCAGATAAACTACTGTCGGACTGACATCCAGGTTTCTGGGTTGGGTAGAAGATAGTGGAATATGGGTGAAAGGGACAAACCAGAGTGATACATAGGTAATGAACCCCACTGCTTTGTATGCTAACTAAACAAAAACATTTTAAAAATAAGTTTTAGGATTTTTTTAAGATGTGGAGAATTAGGACAAATGGGCTCTTTCACTTTAGTGCCCTCTGCCTGGGTTGGTTTCAGCTGAGAAAAGGAATCCTGAAGCACAGTGGGAAGCTTTCCCTCAGCATCACAGAGGTGCTCATTTAAATTAACCAGTAATCTCTGGCCCTGAGACCTAGCAGTCTGCACTGGGAAATAGTTTTCTTGGGTAGCTTTGTACATACTGTTGGAGAACCACTATTGAGACATAGCCTTGCTTATAAAAACAACAAACAAATTCCAACGAGCAGGAGTGGGATTGCTTTTAGTTCATTATTCATCCGGCCTATCACATACAACATTTTTGGGAAAACAACTTTTCGATCACTAAAAGGATGAGGGCAGCACTGTAGATAATACCAGCAATCCCTGGCGGGTGGGAGGCTGTGGCAAATTACCACGGGAATTGATAAACATTGAAAAAAATGCTAAGTGAGCCAGATGGTGGTGCTCTTCTTTAATCCCAGCACTCAGGAGGCAGAGGCAGACAGATCTCTGAGTTTGAGGCCAGCCTGGGCTACAGAGCCAGTTACAGGACAGCCAGGGCTACACACAGAAATCCTGTCTTGAAAAGTGCCCCCCAAAAAGAAAAATGCCAAATGAAGCAAGCCAGACACAGAAGACCACAAGTATATGATTCTGTTTTTATAAAATAGGTAAGTTTGTAGAGACTAAGCTAATTTAGAAGTTACTGGGAACTTGGGACAAGGGAAGGTAGGTGACTGCCTAATGGTTGTAGAGTTTTATTTTGGGTAAATGGAAATGTTCTGGCACCAAATGGTTGAACAAGACTATAAATGTACTAAGTCATCAAATTGTACCCTTTTTAATGGTTGACATGGTAAATTTAATGTATTTTACAATTAAGTTCCTTTACAATGTAACAAAGTAGTAAAGTAACAAAATGTTTAAATCATAGGGAAATACTTAGAAGAATTCATCTGTTCCAAGTTCAATTTAAATAAAGTCAGTCTTGGCAAGACTTATCATCCATGGTGGATGGTCAAAGAAGTATGGAAACATTGGTGCTGGAAGAAGAGTTGCCTCTGCTGGGGGAATCCCAAGAATAAAAGGTCCCTGTACATGAGTGCACAGCTTCAGTTGACTGAGCAAAAGGAGTTCTTTACAAATGGACTTGGAACTATAGGCTGTTTTACCTAGATGGGAAAAATATTACATCAAATACTGGAGAAATAGTTATTGTGTACTATTTTGCTGTTTTTTGAGACAAAGTCTCACTAGGTAACCCAAAGCTCCTGCCTCAGCTTCCCAAGTGCTGCGGTTACAGGTGTGTGCCACCACTGCAGTTAGCCCTTCTGTGGTCCTGGAGGTTGAACATTTCATGCCAGGCAAGCATTTGAAAAAGCTACATCCTTAACTGTGCACCACTTTTGTAACAAGTACCGCCTCTCTTAGTTTATGAGTTTTGAAACAAATACTGAAGGGAAATACTTTTTAATAACTTAATTTCAGAATGGAGGCTAATAGAGGTGTTATTTTCATACCAACCAAACATGAAATGAAGCATTTTCTCTATTGAGAATACTAGGTTTACTTTAAAATTCCCAACAGGCAAGAGTACCCCAGAGCACTAGAATACCAGTTCAACTCAGAATGTTGTTCCTTGGTGTATTGCAGATTTTAATCTTGCTTTTTATTTGGTATTGTGTAATGTATATTTCTATAATAGAGATATTTGGGGAGGAGAGTGATTTTCAGAACTGGGAACCAAACCTGGTGTATGTTAGGCAGGCACTCCGCTGAGTTGCACCATTGCCTTGAAATACAGTTTTTTAATGTGTTGCTGATTAACTCAATATTAATTTGAGTATTAAATTAACTGAAATAATAGGAAACTTGTGTAGCAGTAAACTCTAGATATGTATTTGATTAAAATTAAAACAGGTGAATCTCATGTAAGTAGCATCAGAGGTGAGACCTTTAAAAGGAATAGGAATCATTTTCTAATGAAGAGATCACTTGAAAAACACTGCTTGTCTACATCTGATGCTAAACCTTGAATACTATGAGAACAGTCCAGAAGAAGAAAGCATATCTTCTAGTGAACAGCATAAGGGAGGACAAAACAGCCAAACACTGATGAAAGAAAAAAGTTTCCTGGAAACAGTGTAAGCTAGAGCTAAAAGGTAGGCTGGGACCAAATTATGTAAACTGGCAGGCATGTGAGTTTTTATCATGTGATCACAAACAGCCATTCAAAATTTGGAGCTGTGTTTTAGAGTTGTTAAAGAGACCAGTGTGGAATGGCTTGAAGTCAGTACCAATGATTACCAGTAGATTCCCTAGTGATAAATAGGATGTTGTGTGACAAGACTTTTCCAGGAGAGATGTAACAAATCTACACCCCAGATCGGGAGCCCACTACAGACCAAGGTATGGGTACCACCAAAACAGACCAAGGTATGGATACCACCAAAACAGACCAAGGTATGGATACCACCAAAACAGACCAAGGTATGGATACCACCAAAACAGACCAAGGTATGGATACCACCAAAACTCCAATTTGGTAAATGAGTTGTATTGGGACTACTTAGAGGAATATGGGTCACTTACAGTGGCAGAAATGACTCACAGACAGCCGCATCACCAAAGCCCACCCCATCACCTGTGACAGCTCACAGAGCTGGGAACCTGGTGCACACTGCAGAGTTTCCACTTGTTTACCTTCCTGTTTAAGGAGCTCCCCTTCAGGATGGATGTTTCAATCTCCGAGGAAGCTGTTACGCAACAGAGGGCTTACTTAGTCTAGGATGGTGGTCGTGATAATTTTAAAGAATCTTCAAAGGACTCAAGAGATGGCTTAGTGGTTGAAAGCATTTATTACAACAGTGAACTGTTGTAGAGGACCAGGGTTCTACTCCCAGCCCCTATGTGAATCCACGGAGGTTCACAACCATCTATAACTCCAGTTCCAGGGGGATTTGAAGACCTCTTCTGACTTTCGCAGACACAAGGGACACATGCAGTGCACATACACACATAGGCAAAAAAAAAATTCATACATCTAAGGTCTTTTTTTTTTAATTTTTAAGATTCTTAAAAAATTCCAAAATAGCACTGGGACTTGGCCTAGGTCTCTGGAGCCAGTCAGGGAAGGTGAGGATGTCCATTCCCCATCTACTGAGTGCTACTCCTTATGAGAGAGCCTTCATGTGTACACTGCCATCACTCAGAACAAGCTACAAATAAAAATCAACTAATTTCCCAAATTGTATAGCCGTTGTTTAGCAGTAGTACCCGGATCTAAACTCATACCTTCCTTGATTTCAGAGCCCATGCTTTAATTTGCAATGTGACTATTTTAGGGATGCTAAGAAAATTTGATTTGGGGAAATAAAGAATTTTGATTTTTGTATAATTTAAAATGAGATAGAATCTTACAAGTGAACTTGGTCTTGTACAGAGAATGATTGTACTAAAAGCTGTAAATAGAACTTCAGAGCAGAGCACAGGGTCTGAGTAATGGTTCAGTTAAGAATGCATTTCTCTTGCAGAGGACCCAAGTTCAATTCCCAGTACCTGCAAGAGGCTGCACACAACTTCCTCTAACCCCACCTCGGAGGATCCAGTGTCTTCTGGTCCCGATACGAACTGTGCTCACATGTACAAACACACACACACACACACACACACACACACACACACACACACAATTTCTTTCTTTTTAGGACAGGGTCTCGTTATGTAGCTCCTGGCAGGCCTGGAGCTCACTGTGTAGACCAGGCTGGCCACGAACTCACAGAGAACTAGCTGCCTTCACCTCCTAAGTGCTTGGATTAAGACATGCCACCACTATACCTGGTATAGTTTTTTTTTTTTTTTTTTTTTTTTAATGTGCAGAGCGGCAGAACCTACCCCAGATAGGTAAGAAATTTGTAGCAAACCTAATTACCCTAGTTTTGTGAATTGCAACAGTGTTGGGAGTCGTGTTAATCGATATCAAGAGCAGAGAAGGTGGTCACTGGCAAAAGAAATGACAAAAACTCAAAGAAGTAGA